CAAGTTATAGAACTTGCTCTACATTTCTTTTTAATTAATGAAAGCATAAGTTGCATTCAATACAATATGTAATCTATATTGTGGAACATTTTATTACTTTTTAGTTTGAGTGAAATAACTGATGTGATTTAAGTAACTTGGAGGTGTAGGACCAACATAATCCCTTCTACATTCCTGTACATGAATAAGGTAGATAAAGGCAAGTTATAGAACTTGCTCCACATTTCTTCTTAATTAATGAAAGCATAAGTTGCATTCAATATAATATGTAATCTATATTGTGGAACATTTTATTACTTTTTAGTTTGAGTGAAATAACTGATGTGATTTAAGTAACTTGGAGGTGTAGGACTAACATAATCCCTTCTACATTCCTGTACATGAATGAGGTAGATAAAGACAAGTTATAGAACTTGCTCTACATTTCTTTTTAATTAATGAAAGCATAAGTTGCATCCAATATAATATGTAATCTATATTGTGGAACATTTCAATAATTCTTAATTGTGACTGAAATAACTGATATGATTTAAGTAGCTTGGAGATGTAGGACTAACATAATCTGTCTACGTTCCTGTACATGAATGAGATAGATAAAGGCAAGTTATAGAACTTGCTCTACATTTCTTTTTAATTAATGAAAGCATAAGTTGCATTCAATATAATATGTAATCTATATTGTGGAACATTTTATTACTTTTTAGTTGTGACTGAAATAACTGATATGATTTAAGTAGCTTGGAGATGTAGGACTAACATAATCTGTCTACGTTCCTGTACATGAATGAGATAGATAAAGGCAAGTTATAGAACTTGCTCTACATTTCTTTTTAATTAATGAAAGCATAAGTTGCATTCAATACAATATGTAATCTATATTGTGGAACATTTTATTACTTTTTAGTTTGAGTGAAATAACTGATGTGATTTAAGTAACTTGGAGATGCAGGACCAACATAATTCCTTCTACATGCCTGTACATGAATGAGGTAGATAAAGACAAGTTACAGAACTTGCTCTACATTTCTTTTTAACTAATGAAAGCGTAAGTTGCACTCAACATAATATGTACTTTACATTATAATTATTTTAAAAGACTTGTTAAAAAGAAGCTTAACAATTTGCTCATCTCGCAGATACCTTATATGAAGTGTATATGGCTGAGACGTATTGAATTCAAATGATGCAGAGGATGAAGAAAAATGAAACGTAGGAAGAGACATATGAGTATTTTATGCGCCTTTCTCAACGTGGCATTTTTAGCTAAATGTTTTACGTCTTTTTCTATCCCTCCAGAGATTAAACAACCGGAAGAATAGTTTTAGAAGAGAATGAAGAACATCAAGATTAGACGAAATCACCGTGTAGGTTTTATGTTCGCGAAGAATCAGGCGCTTCGTATCGATTATGGCGTAACCGCGCAAACAGAATCGGATATAAAGACGTTGATAGTCGGAGACGAAAGAGAAGTTCGTTTTTCTCGGAGCATACTGATTTCTGTTTGCACGATTAGATAAACGAACGACGTAGCCTCGGCAGCTGGTGTATGTACACTATCGAATAACAAAGACAATCGAAACGGTATGGCGCATTACACGGTTCGCCGCTGCAAAGATCGCTGGAGTCATAAAGCGCGAAGCTCTTAATTAACGATTTCATTCGACTCGTTGCACATTATTTCCTCCCTCTAAATTGCTGGGCTAGTTTCTCGGTTCGACGCGCCAGTATTTTAACCTCTTTATCGCTCCGGCTGATCTTCCAGTGGCTCGTTCCATGCCGGAGGAGAGAGGGGAAAAAATGGAACAAATCCTGCGAACGGTCCTCGATGCTTCTCGCGGTTCTCACGACCAGCCTCGAAATAATGAAAAGCTTTCGCGCGATGAATAAAGCTCTCGCGAGGAACCAGAATCGTTTTTTGCCCCTTCTCTTTTGTCTGCGTGCTACTTTTCATTCATGTTTTCGCGATTTTCCGTTCCGTCTCGCTGACGACGAAGAAACGATGTCAAATTCGTTGGAAACGAAGAAATTATTCCTGCGGAAAGGAAACTTTAACGAGTTCACCTCGAGGTTCGAGCCATTTGCAATTTTTCCACGGTTTGTTTGATACACAGAGAGCCTGAAAATTACTGAATATTTTCTTAAAATTCGCTCGCGGTAAATTTCCGATTGTTTTACATCGGAATACGGTTCGGAAGCTCGATTCAATTTAACGAGAATTTTCTGCGATCACTTCTATAGAAATATACAAGAATATAAGTATATATACATATTGAATTCTCATAAAATAACCTGTGCTTTATTCTACGAATATCATTATAAAAATATTTGTAAAGGAAACTGACCTACGTCTCTCAGTCTAACGCTGCATTTACGTCGAGCGAAACGAATGGAAAATTCGAAACAGAAGAGAGATTCCCTTTCACTAGTCCCAATGATCATATATTTTGACGCGTCACTAATAATGACACGTGATATTTGCAAAGAACCGCTTCAGTAACTCTCTTCGGGTACTTGTAGACGTCCATATTCGTTTGCCACGATTCGTTTCACGTTGATCGCTGTAACGCCATCCAAGTTGTTTACGGCTTGTAATGTTCCCGGGAACAAGTTAGAACATTCTTGATTTTAAATCAAATACGTAATAGAGGAGCGAGCAAATAACGTTAATCAATAACTTGTTAAAACGATAAGTAAATAACACTTGTCAACGCATTATGTAAATAATATTGGCTAACAACTTTATCTTTGCCAAAGAACATCTTTAAGGCACTTCATGGTTCATAGATTGCTCTTATATGTTTTATATAAATTAAACAATTTGTATCTTTATTTATGTTCTGCATTTTATATAACAATTTAGGTTTTGTATTTTATTATTGTACTTTTGAATTGTTTGATTGTTATCTTTATCTTAAGACAAGTTGTGGTGTTCAACTTAGAGTTCAAAGTTAGCAAAATTAAAAAAGATGTATTTTATTATTGTATCTATAAATTGTTTAACTAATAGCTGAAGTTATGAAGCTCAACTTAGAGTTCAAAGTAAGTTAGCAAAATTAGAAAAGATGTACTTTATTATTGTATCTACAAATTGTTTAACTATTATCTGAAGTCATGAAGCTTAACTTAGAGTTCAAAGTAAGTAAGCAAAATTAAAAAAGATGTGTTTTACTATTGTATCTATAAATTGTTTAACTATTATCTGAAGTCATGAAGCTCAACTTAGAGTTCAAGTAAGCAAAATTAAAAAAGATGTATTTTATTATTGTATCTACAAACTGTTTAACTATTATCCTAAGTTATGAAGCTCAACTTAGAGTTCAAAATAAGTTAGCAAAATTAGAAAAGATGTATTTTATTATTGTATCTACAAATTGTTTAACTATTATCTTCAGCCATGAAGCTCAACTTAAAGTTCAAAATAAGTAAACAAAATTAAAAAAGAAGTATTTTAATGTACCAGAAAAGAATGTCCATAAACAATATATGTAAAGATACATTCTAAAATTTAGTAGATAAAATGATACTCCCAGACAAAATTTAAATTGAAATTTCGAAAGGTAGAACTGTTTCACTTCGGAAAAAGCGTTTCGATACATTGGAATGGAATAATCGATTAAAATGCACCGCTGGAAGTATATTAAATTACGTATCGTCGAGTAAAAAAAAAAAGTAGCGAATAAAAACCGATAATGAATAGGAAATAAATTTACTTTCACCTCGAGCAGGGATTTCGCTACTTTGCGTCCCGCTGTTGATATGAATATTAATGGCGTGCATTATTTATCGCGTCTGGTCGTTAGAGTTTCCTTCGCTGCAGTTCGACGTGCATAACGCGATCGGTCCTATTAAAAATCCTCGCTATTAATATGAACGATCGAGGTAAACAGAATTTACGACGACAGTTCGTCGAACAATCATTTTGTATTTTTAGAATTGTCGCGTAACATTTGGTAACTCGTTCTTCCAGTTAATATTCATGAATTAATAGTATAATGATGATGTCACGGTTTGTTTTATCGGTTTTCTGAGTCAGTGTTCTGGGAGATTAGTTTTGAGGTTTTTGGCTGGTTCTTTACATATTGTTTCCGGTGATGGAGATGATTACATATGGTCTCAAATACATAGAGTCACAAATTTGTATAGTTTAGTGGAACTACTACTGACAGTCTCTATCTGTAGGCACTCTCTACAGTTGAAAATTTCTGTAGTCCCAAATATCTATAGTTCAGTGGGACTACTACATTGGAGTCCCTCTATCAGTAGGCACTCCCACTACAGTCCAAACTCTCTAGAGTCCTAAATCACTAGAGTTTAAAATCTCTAGAGTTTCAAATCTTTAGAGTTCCAAATTCTTAGAGTTCCAAATCTCTAGGGTTCCAACTCTCTAGAGTCCCAACTCTCTAGAGTCCCAAATCTCTAGAGTTCCAAATCTCTAGGGTTCCAACTCTATAGAGTCCCAAATCTCTAGGGTTCCAAATCTCTAGGGTTCCAACTCTCTAGAGTTCCAAATCTCTAGGGTTCCAAATCTCTAGAGTTCCAAATCTCTAGGGTTCCAACTCTCTAGAGTCCCCAATCCCTAGAGTTCCAAATCTCTAGAGTCCCAAATCCCTAGAGTTCCAAATCCCTAAAGTTCCCAATCCCTAAAGTTCCAAATCTCCAAAGTTCTAAATCCCTGCTGTCCCAAATTCCTAGATTCTCAAATCCCTATACTCCCAAATTCCAATATTCCCAAATTACCGCAGTTTGCAACGCCGATATGATAACGAAGATAACGTAAATTCTCATAACTCATTTAACAAACATTCAGTCGTATTTTTAACATAAATAAATACATCGCTAATGGAACGTTCTTCTGTATATTCTTCTTATATTTCTTCAGAATATATAATATTTCTGTACATTCTTTTTATATTTCCGCAGAAGTAAATGTATAGAAATTCTCGTCGCTCAAGTGGAAATTTCTAAGAGAAAGTAACAGACGGTTCTCGCAAATGATGTTTGGTTAATTGTTTAAAAATTAGCCGCTGCGGATGGTATATCGGATGGTTTATCGGTGATATAACAAAGGTGTATTTATTCGACGAAGCCAGGGCAAACCCCACTTATGTACACTCGATATTCAGGTCAATATCCATAATAGGTATACGCTCGTCGACCCGCATGAACACCGCTCATTTCATCATTTTTTAAAGAATCTTGATCGTCCATTTACCTGCTCTCAAAATCTAGTTTGGACCTATATATTTCCCCCTTCGAATCAGGGCTTCAAATCTAGATCAGTTTTTAAAGAATCGCTCTTAGATTTACAAAAATCGCTTTTAAATTATAGAAGTACAAGAACAATACAAGTTTTACTAAAGTAAGGTACATTGCTAGAGTTGATATCATAAAAATGAGTACATCATGAAATACATGAAAATATTTATGTATTTTATTTGGGAGTTTCGAGATTTGGAACTATAGGGATTTGGGACTCTAGAAATTTGGAATTCTAGGGATGTGGGACTATAGGGATTTGGAACTCTAGGGATTGGGGACTCTAGAGATTTGGAACTCTAGGGATTGGGGACACTAGAGATTTGGGACTCTAGAGGTTTGGAACTCTAGGGATTTGGGACTATAGAGATTTGGAACTCTAGAGATTTGGAACTCTAGAGACTAGGAACTCTAGAGATTTGGAACTCTAGAGATTTGGAACTCTAGAGAGTTGGAACCCTAGAGAGTTGGAACCCTAGAGATTTGGAACTCTAGAGATTTGGGACTCTAGAGAGTTGGAACCTTACAGATTTGGAACTCTAGAGATTTGGGACTCTAGGGATTGGGCACTCTAGAGATTTGGAACTCTAGAAATGTGGAACTCTAGAAATTTGGAACTCTAGAGATTTGGAACTCTAGAGATTTGGAACTCTAGAGACTTGGAACTCTAGAGATTTGGAATTCTAGGAACTTGGAACTCTAGAGATTTGGAACTCATAATGTAAAGAGCGTCGCAACAAAATACACCCTTCCACATGAAAGCATGTTCGTATCTGAATCCAAGAGAATCGTAGACATTTTCCCAGTAGTCCGGATCTTTGTTTATAACCAGTCGCAGACAAAGGGTGATCGAAGGTCCGTCGTAAAAATCGAAGCGTAGGAACGAACAGGGTCGTTCTCTTTTTTGCCTCCTCCGTAAACGGGGACCGAAAGACGGATGAATAAAAATGCTCTTCGAGGTTGAATGTTTTCATTAAACTGAACAGATTAAATTGCACTTCGATCGGAATATCACGGAGTACAAATGACCCTCGATGGCGATCTTCTTTTCGCCGGAGGATCACCGAGGATAAAACGATCTCGTTAAAATGGAGGACTCTGGCGAGGACAATGGAGGCAAGCTCGCTTGTTACTTGGATTGAATTAATTCGAACGTGGGTGGGGTTTTCTTTAAATAACGACTGTATTGTGTACGTAAACGTTTTTCATTTCCTTTTATGTTTTTGTTAGTTGTGTATGCAGGAGAAGTGATTTAAATGTGGACTACTTTGAATGATATATTTGATAGGTATATAGCAAAATTCTAAATCTCTAGAGTTTCAAATCTCTAGGGTTCCAAATCTTTAGAGTTCCAAATTTTTGGAGTTCCAAATCTCTAGGGTTCCAAATCTGTAGGGTTCCAACTTTCTAGAGTCCCAAATCTCTAGAGTTCCAAATCTCTGGAGTTCCAAATTTCTAGGTTTCCAACTCTCTAGAGTCCCAAATCTCTAGAGTTCCAAATCTCTAGGGTTCCAACTCTCTAGAGCTCCAAATTTCTAGGTTTCCAACTCTCTAGAGTCCCAAATCTCTAGAGTTCCAAATCTCTAGAGTTCCAAATCCCTAGAGTTCCAAATCTCTAGAGTTCCAAATCTCTAGAATTCCAAATCTCTAGAGTTCCAAATCTCTAGAGTCCTCAATCCCTAGAGTTCCAACTCTCTAGAATTCCAAATCTCTAGAGTTCCAAATTTCTAGAGTCCCCAATCCCTAGAGTTCCAAATCTCTAGAATTCCAAATCCCTAGAGTTCCAAATCCCTATAGTCCCAAATCTCTAGAATCCCCAATCCCTAGAGTTCCAAATCCCTATAGTCCCCAATGCCTAGAGTTCCAAATCTCCATACTTCCCACATCTTATATTGCCAAATTCTTCCACCTCCAAATCCCTATAATTCCAACTCCCATTGCCAATTTTCTAAACCCTAATATCTACACCCATAAATTCCTAAATTTACAAATCTGAACAAACACCAAACCTCCATATAACTTCCCTAATGTGTCCACCAATACAACCTGTCCACCCATGGCCATATAGCGAGACCCACCATAAAATTCTACCGAATCACCCATAAATTAACCGGAATATCTACTCGAGAAGTAAAATATTGTAGTTCCTAGATTACACGACTGGTTAAACTAGAAGAAATTCAATTTATGTAGAATTATGTCAGAGATAGACCAGTATGGGAACGTTATCTGAATTAACCGAGCAGCGGTTCAATTAACTACGATTTCTCTTAATTATGCCTTCGAATAAATATTACACACTTGTTTCCGTCAGTGACTCATCTCCAGATGCAAACAGTTCGATCGAACTAGATTTAATTACCGTTAAATAACCGGCGCAATTAAATCTTCCGTTAATCGTTTATCATAAATACAAATCGGACTATCGTTTCCTGTGAGTTCGATGGGAACTTCAATTTCTCTTTTACGTTAAGTGAAGTGTAATTCGATACAGATTCTGAATGCTTGTTCGAGAACGGGATATTGTTTCGTTAACTGTAAAATTGTAATGTCTGGCGGAGTTCTATCGTACGTCAATTGTTATTTCGCTTGTAGATATGCAAACAATTTGGTAAAATTAGACTGGAGGACTTTCGAGTTATTCTCAGAGGTCTTTATTTTTGAAAACGTTATTTTTTAAACAGTCGTAGGAGTGAAACTCTCTGTATATCGAAATCTATAAACAGAGTAAGAAGGGTAAAGAAGAAGAACGACGAAGACAAATATCGAGACGTCCCTTAGTCGGATCGACTGACCGAAACGATAAAAACGTCTCGACGCGTAAATATTATCACCAGATAGCACTTGTTATCGTGTTTTCACCTGTGATCCACGTTTTCGAGGGAAAAATCAACTTCGCGAAGGGAGAATAAGGCGTTAAACCGTTAAACAGCGTCGAGTTGTGTCCGCGTTTCGACGGATCGTATATAAAACGTGATGTCACGTTCCGAAATGTTGATAAGAACGAGGACGCTTCTTACGAAACGCTCTGAAAATATCGGCGGTGAAAAAAACATGACGGACAAGTAGTTCTTTTTCGTAAAAAACGTGAACTGGTCGGTGACCTTTTAAGATATTCAATGACGAGGTCGTGGCATAAATTTGCAGTCTACTGTGTGTTATCGTTAATTGAAACTGAGAACCGAAATCAAGAACGTTGTAATACTCGACTGTAATGCGAATTAGTAGAAATCGATAACGCTATCGTATTATCGTCGATGATACTCTTGAAACGAGTAGATCGATGATGCTAAATAAATTTCCACATCTACGGGTTTTCAACTCGATCGTGGGTTGCGTGGTAATATTATGTAATATAACGCGCGGTAAGGTTATACGTGTCGATATAACGCGTGGCAATATATCGCGAGGTTACTTAACGCACGATAATGTTGCACGCGGTGATATATCGCGAGGAAACTTGACGCACGATATCATAGCGTACGGTAACATAATACAAGGCAATATATCGCGAGGAAACTGCAGGCACACTAATATAACATATGGCGATATAATGAGAGGCAATATATCGCGAGAAAACTCAAGGTACGATAATATCGCACGCGGCGATATATCGCGAGGAAATTTGGCGCACAATAATGTAGCATGCGGCAATATACCGCGAGGAAACTTGACGCACGATAATATAGTATACTGCGATATAATGCGAGGTAATATATTGCGAAGAAACTTCACGCACGTTAATGTAACGCACGGCAATATAATACGAGGCAATATATCGCGAGGAAACTTCACGCACGCTACTGTAACACACGGCAATATAATACGAGGCAATATATCGCGTGGAAGCTTCGCATACGCTAAAGTAACACACGGCAATATAACACGAGGCAATATATCGTGTAGAAACTTCATGCACGCTAATGTAACACACGGCAATATAATACAAGGCAATATATCGCGTGGAAACTTCACGGACGCTAAGGTTACACACGGCAATATAACACGAGGCAGTATATCGCGTGGAAACTTCACACACGCTAATGAAACACACGGCAATATAACATGAGGCAATATATCGCGAGGAAACTTCACGCTCGCTAATGTAACACACGGCAATATAATACGAGGCAATATATCGCGTGGAAACTTCACGCACGCTAATGAAACACACGGCAATATAACACGAGGCAATATATCGCGTAGAAACTTCATGCACGCTAATGTAACACACGGCAATATAATACAAGGCAATATATCGCGTGGAAACTTCACGCACGCTAATGAAACACACGGCAATATAACACGAGGCAATATATCGCGTGGAAACTTTACGCACGCTAATGTAACACACGGCAATATAACACGAGGCAATATATCGCGAGGAAACTTCACGCACGATAATGTAGTACACGGCGATATAAATAACACACGGCAATATACCGCGAGGAAACTTGACGCACGATAATATAGCATACTGCAATATAATACGAGGCAATATATCGCGAGGAAACTTCATGCACGCTAATGTAACACACGGCAATATAACACGAGGTAAAATATCGCAAGGAAACTTGACGCACGATAATGTAGTACACGGCGATATAACACGAGGCAATATATCGCCGGAAAATTTAACATACGATAATATAGCAATTGGTAATGTAAAGCGAGACAATGTAACGAACAGTAATATAATATGTGGTAATATTCTGCACGGTAATACAGCAGATAATAATACAGCGCGTGGTACAATATATGGTAATATAACGAGTGGCAATATAACACTTGAGAATGTAACACGTGTAATAACATGTTTTCTTTATGTCAGAAAAATAAATGTTCCCACATTTTAAAGCATACGAGACGTACAACAAGAAAGGATATAATCTGACGTGAGAAATCGACAACGTTGAAATAGCAAAGGTGCGAAAATAAAAAAAACTGGTAATCGGTGATTGGTCGTTTTACCGAACAACAAGTAGAACCTAAGTATGCACACGTGCAGCCAAGAATTTGCATTCACGCGATTCCACCTTTGTTCCTCTCTTCGGAGATTCATCCTCGTCCGCCTCGCCGTATCTTATATATAGTTTAAGCAACACGGTCATGCCTATTTTAACTGGATTCGTGGTCTCGATGCTGTACGAAGAAATATCGAAGCGTATGGACAAAGCACGATATAAATACTGACCGAACGAAACAGAATTTTGCAGACCGAAGCGTATTGAAATGGTATTTTCAAAGAGAATCGTACAGAGTAACATATTTTATTTAGAATTCCTATCCCCGATTTTCATTTTTACCAAACCGAAGTTACATTCGTAATCCATATTTATTTCATTCAGAAACGAAAAGATCATTTTTATACGCGTAATAATTGAAAGTATATATTGGACATTCGATACGGGCGTTACTTCGGCACAGGTATATACAATTCCTTTTATCTTTAGTGAAACACGATCCTCCAATTATGTATATTGAACAGCGCGTCTTCGATCAACCATTGCTTCCACGGCACACGGAATATCAAAACGAAGATTCAATTAACCAGAAGCCTTATGACTTTTATAACAGCTGCGTGAATCAGATTCCGCTGTATAATTAATTGAATACCGAATCAAACATACGGTGCACGTATAATTACACGGGCGGATTCTTAACAGCGTAAAATTCTTGCAATTGCCAATATACCCTATTAGGTGGTCATACAACGAGTGCTAATTGGCCGTAACGTTAAAAGGGTCGTCAGAAAACGGAGTTAAAAAGCTCAGAGGACTTTTACAACTTTTTGGACTTTCGGGATTGTTAGAGCTTTTAGGATCTTTAGAGTTTTAGTGACTTTTACTAGTAGACACATATTCTATTAGATACGTATATAGATAGGTATCAGATATAGGTATACTTATATACATAGGTATCATACATAGGTATACCTACATACATAGGTATGCCTACACATATAGGTATCATACAAAGGTATGTCTATATATATAGGTATCATACATATGTATACGTACATACATAGGTATCATATATAGGTATACGTATATACATAGGTATACCTACATACATAGGTATCATACGTAGGTATACCTACATACATAGGTATCATACGTAGGTATACCTACATACATAGGTATCATACATGGGTATACCTACATACATAGGTATCATACATGGGTATACGTACATACATAGGTATCATACATAGGTATACCTACATACATAGTTATACCTACATACATAGGTATACGTACATACATAGGTACCATATATAGGTATACATACATACATAGGTATCATACATAGGTATACCTACATACCTAGGTATCATACATAAGTATACGTACATACATACGTATCATACATAGGTATGCTTATATACATAGGTATCATATATAGGTATACCTATATACATAGGTATCATACATAGGTATCTAGTATACCTATATACATAAGTATCCACATCTTTAGATTCATCCCAGATCCTTACATCCTTAGATTCCTATATGTCTAGATACCTACACACCTACATCTCTAAATTCTTAAACCTATACATCCATAAATCCCTAGATCTATAAATTCGATTCCTAGGTTCCACTCTTCCACATCACAATACTTATACTCCAACATTCTCAAATCTCTAAAACCCTAAATCCTCAAATTACTATACTCGCGCATCTCCACAATCTTAAAGTTGTAGTCGAGGACTTACAGAACGGTGGTGTTGGTTGGTACCCGTGGTACACGGTTGAGCTTCTGAAACATGCACCGCACGGTACTCCCGAAGCACATGCACTTATGGGGGCACTCGGTCCTGCCATACTGCGACTGGTCCGCCCAGGATACTCGCAGGATCAGCAGGACCAAGCAAACGACGTTCACCTCTTGCAGCCTCATTGTCTCTTTGGTCCAGTCTCTGACCCCCGTTCACATCCACTCTGACCACGCTACTCGAGCCAGCACGTGCTTCTGCTCATCGAGATGAACGCTTCTTCGGCCCTCGATCGTGTTTGGCCACGCGGTACTTTCACTTCTTCGTGAAAATCAAACGAGGTTGACTCAGAGACTGTTGCTCGCACTTTGTGTACCGCGACGGAATCTTGTCCGGACAGTGGCGGATTTATGCGAACGCGGTGCAGCCTTTATGGGGTCCCGTGAAATGGGGACCCACGGTGATATTAATTTATACAGGGTGTCCGAAAATGGCGGTACAAACTATCAGATTCTACGTGAATGAACATGTGGAATACAGTTGTTTCGTGCAAGGCTTTTTGAGAAAATTTAACTGGGAAGTTTGTTAAAATATTTGTAAGAAGTTTTAATAATTCTTTGGTTAATTCGGTAGGTAACATATGTTATGATACGTGTAATTATTATCAATGAAGTTATTTGGTCATAATGTTACTTATACTTTTATTATTCATCTTATTTAGATAATATACTTCGGGCACCCTGAAACCTAAATCCGCCACTGTCTACATACTACAGGGTTGATCGTTCTTGATTATATAGGGTGTCGGATAATTTGTCCGAAATTTGGTAACACGATATAGATCATACAAGAAGCACTTTATGGAAACATTACAATCAAAATTATACTACTGCAAATAAGTCTAAAATACCCAATATTGATATACAATATCAGATAAATTTTTACCAATCAGGTTTACCTTTAGTTTTATTCTCGATCCCATAATGATTTACCAATTTTTACCTTTCACGATTTCACTCACAAACTTTGGAAATACAACTTATCGAAGTGCAATGTGCATGATCGTAAAACGTGCTACTAAACTTTGATCCGAAAATTGTCCGACAACCTGGTGCACGTTCGGCTCAAACGAAGAATTTCCAAACCACGAGATCTGCTGTAAAACAAATTGCAGAATCTCTTGGGAATCCGCAATCAAAATCACAAACAGAAAAACGATTCAGCAATCCATTGAATTGCTTCATCAATCTCTACGTATCTCCGTATGCAAAGTAATAAATCACCAGGTTACAGAGAAAGTGGTATCGATAAATCACGGTGCAACCAAAAACGAGATACGCAACAAAACCATTCACACATTTCGCAAATCAGCACATACAATATCCTTGAACGTCTAAACGGAACGTGCACCGATATGTTGATCAAAACGATCCCCGTTATAATGATACGTTCTCGAAAGCAAATTGTACCCTGAAGAATCTTCCTCACAGTTCGAGAGAACACGCGCGGTGAAGAACCTCGTACGAAATCCTCGGCGAGGAGCACTTTTGACCCGTGCAGAAGTCGGGAGTCGTGTGAGATCGCGAGGAACGGCGGTAAAGGGGGCGGCGAAATAGGGAAGGGACGCAGAGGTACGCCGCCGCTGCGATCTCGTCTCGTCGCGGCGGCTCAGCTACAACTGGAGCTGGTCGGCGCCGCTCCGCGCGCTCGATAGCCTGGAGATGGAGCGTACGCGCTTCGGCCGGCAGTAAAGAGCTTTTCCTCGACCGAGCGTCTTTCTTTCCCCCACCTTTCACGATCCGAATTCCGCTTCGCGCCAAGCGTCGAGCTCTCCTCGATCCTTCGTGATCCATCGTGTATGGATCCTCGTTTATTTAACCTACAATGTACATATGACGGCATTACAAGACAAGAAATAGCACCAGTTAAGTTTGGATTGGTGGGACTTAGGGATTTTAGAAGTTCTCAAGCTTCAAGATTTTTGGATTTTTGAAATTTGGCTCTTTGGAGTTTTGGAAATTTTGGAATTGCAATTTTGGAAGCTATTGTCTTGGGCTTATGGATCTTTGGTAGCGTTGGATTCTGAGACCTTGGGATCTTTAAAGTTTGAGATCTTTGGAACTTATGGACTTCTCACTTAGGACCTAGGACTAGTAACCTTGAAACTTGGAAGCTATTGTCTTTGGACTTATGGATCTTTGATAGCATTGGATTCTGAGACCTTGGAATCTTTAGAGTTTGAGATCTTTGGGATTTATGGTCTTCTAACTTAGGACCTAGGACTAGTAACCTTGAAACTTGGAAGCTATTGTCTTGGACTTATGGATCTTTGGTAGCATTGGATTCTGAGACCTTGGGATCTTTACAGTTTGAGGTCTTTGGAACTTATGGACTTTTAACTTTAAGACCTAGAACTTGTAACCTTGAGACTGTAGGAGCTTCTGGACTTTTGGTTTTTGAGACCTTGAAGCACTATAGCTTTGGAACTTTAGTTCCAACTGATTCCTACATACACATATCCCCAAATCCCTACATTACAAATCCTCAAATAAAGATTTGATATTCCAAAACTATACCCAAAAATTTCTATACTCCCAAATACAGATCCTGCAATTCCTATATCCTCATCCTCCTACATCTCAATATCCTTAAATTTCTAAATTTCTATATCCCTAAATCCCTGCATCACTATACTCCCAGGTTCCCATATGAACTAATATGTATGTATAACCATGCAAGGAAGTAAGGCGCACGCAAGTCAACGTTTTGTTGGCACCGTATATGCATATTTTAAAAGACTATGTGTACATTATGGGTGCATGTATGCATACGTCTAAATGGAGCGTTATGAAACGTGATTGTTGTTCAAGTCAGTGGTTCTAGTGTTAGACCCTTTTTGCGGCTTGCAGTTTCAAGGAAACCGTCGGTACATAATTGGCCGCTTTGTATCTGTCCACTTTAATGTTTTTACGAGCATCTTGTGTAAGACACTGTTCTCGTGGAACACGTTGCGACTGTTATTACATGCTTCTTTCCTTACTTCAGCATCTTGAACCCCCTGTTTTACACTGAATTCTGTATTCCGACGCAAGTTTGCGGCTTACGCTCGCAATTCGCTGTATGTGATTTGCGTTCTCTTGCGCATTCGTGTAATTTGATTGAGACTAGGGTGCAAAGGTTATTTCGCATTTATAAATTTTAAGATTTACTGATTTTCAAATTTTCAAATCTTCAAATCTCAAAATTCTAGATCTCTAGAATCCTACATCCCTATAACTTCAAAATAACAACTTTGAAAAATTACTCTCATTCCTAGTGATCCCAAAATGACCATATAAAATTTTAATAGACCTATAAAGGTCTCTATCAGTCCACGGTCTAATTAAAATCATAAGAGGTGATTTACCTGAATATTAATGAAATTGAAATTGATAAGCTATCAGAGCCGGGAGATCACGACACGACTTCGTCGTTAAATTCTAATTGTACGTGCATGATGGACTATGCATAAATGCAATATTTGGCGTAATTTGATGTTTATCGATCGTGCGTACACGTTCTCGTACATTTGCCATTAACATTCCGTATGAAATCCGTAGGCAGATAAGTGGAATGCTCGGTGCAGGGGCGCGTTTGCATATATACGTGCTATCTGCATGCAGTCGCAAACGTGGAACGTGCACGCATGCAGCTCCGCGTGCAAGTTCAACGAGCGCCAATCCGCTCCAGACCGCGCCGCGGCGCCGAGCGTCGATCTTTGACCACGCGAGCTAACTGGGGTAGATGTCCGTCTAACGGCCGTCGTTCGAATAACTGTCATTTTACTTATTTCGTTTAACTGAAAAAAGAAATATAAAAAGTCATTCTAGAAAAAATAAATATTCAATTAAAATTGTATACTGTAAACCTATGCATTGACACATGTGGAATTAGGCCAAGACTACCTTTGTGAATATTTTAAAAATAAATACTCTGTTCAACAATTTATAGTTAGTCTTCTATGCAGCATGCAATTAGCCTCTTCATATGTAGCTATAAAATAAAAAAAGAATTAGTATTAAAATTAAAAAATTAATAGAATGACAACCTTTATATTCTGTTTTAAATTAATTTATAAAAGTTATTGTCGTCGACAAAATTATTGTGTTAAATGAAAGAGTTACATACATTGTTACTGCTGAATATTCTTTTGTTTTTTCCGCACTGGTTAGAGGTGTTTTTAAATTGTTCAACCCTCGTGGAACAGGCGAATGCAACACACTTCATCTGTATGAAAACGTTAAAGATTTGTTATAACTGCATTTAATGAAAATTTAAATAAGAATACTTCGTATGCGTGGTCCATCTATGCGTGGTTATCTTAAATATCGTTGTTGCAGGTTAGAATTATATTTACATGTTAATAGTTAATTCATAAAAGTAATGCATTGGTCTGTTTCAACAACAGAGTAAATAAATTTGTTAAAACTAGATAAAAAACGTTTGTTCTTACCAGAAATTAAAATGTCGATTTTTATCAAAATTGATTGAAAGTATGTCTTTATACGCACAGTGAATGGGTCCTATAAAAACAAAACAATACAGGTGGCGCGTTTAACGGATGCTTTACAAAATACATATCCGGTGCATCTATGGTAGGCCTTATATTTAATAGTCGATTGTAAGTCGTAGTTAAACAAAGGTTAGAATTGAATTATTCATAACTAGGTAATTAACATAACTAGATCACGTTATACGTATTTATGATACATCGAGATCTACAAAATGTAAGTAAATCATATGAGAGTCATAGTCCATGAATTAAGTAATTTATCTTAACCTTATAGACTATAATAAACCACGTAGTCTATAACTATTGTTAAAGATATATATTTAAAGAATGCACGAGATTATTACTTTTATTCTAAAGTTATAATTATCGTGAATGGCAACGGCACGAACAGTCGACTTCATAATTGCAGTGAACGCTCGGGTCAAGAAAGTCATGTAGCGATATTCTTTCTTTTTTCCCGCGTCGCGGCAGAAAATGAATAGCAAGTTTCGATAAAAATTGTCGAGTCACCTAAATACGTTACCTTTGTAACAACGGAGAGCCTTCGTGGCTTTCTATGCCCATCACGAAAGATTCCCCGTTACAATCTGTTTCCTCGTCCACATAATTTTTATTTTGAAAGAAAGATCTTGATGGTACCGTGGATGTTCTGTCCAGACCGAGTGTATATCTACGGTGGAAGAATAGCCGAACGCTCGGAACGCGTTATTGGAAGCTGTCGTAAAAATACTTCGTAGATACCTTCGGTTCAATTCAATGAACAACTTCGACGGACCAGGAGAGAAAAAATCGGGTCATTACTTTCGTGACCCGTTATCGCGTTGTCACGAAACAGCTGTGTGACCAGGGAACAATACAGGTGCACTGAAACCGAGAACAAAAGAATACTTAACGAAAGAGAAAGTATTAACATACTGGGTCACCGGCTGTTAAACACCGCTACTATTAGATGCTTAGGGATCGAAAGATCGGGGCGCTGCGTCGCGAATGGCGGTAAGCGGCTTTTGAGTCTGAACACAATTTTTTAATTTTGAAATTTATTATGCAATTTTTTAAGTTTGATAATTCATTAATTTCCCAATTTTTAAATTACGAAATTCTTTAATTTTCAGAACAGTAAATTCCTAAATCTCTAAATTACCAGATTCGTTAATTTTCAAATCCTAAATCCCCAGATTTATAAATTTTCAAAGCTGTCAATATCTAGTTGTATAAATTACCAAATTAGAAAATTCCCAGCCCCTAAAAGTTCCAAATTTCTAAGTCTGAAAACTCTTAAATTCTAAAATTTTAAAATCTTTAAATCTCCAAATTGTCAAACCGCAAATCCCCAAATCCCTAAATCCCTAAATCCTGTCAAAGAAGTCAGCATTAACAGAAAGAAATCGTAATGTACATCAAGTGAAGAGATCTTTGCGAATGAAGGAATGAAAATCGCGCAAATTCCTGCACGATGAATATATCTATAAAAAATAAGCAGCAACGATGCAGTGCGGCTCTCCGTGACATCTTAATTCGTTGAAATTGAGACTGCGGCTAAAGATGACCGTCTCGGATGAAAGTTTATGCGCGTCTGACTTGCCGCGGAGCAGAAGAAGAAAATTCATTGACCTTATTACTTAAATGGCGGCCACTCGTAGCGGCTGCAATCAAAGGATCCGTTGGTCGATCACGTTTAATGTTGCCGGAGCACTTTGAACTGGAAAATGTGCTTTCAATAGTTCCTTCAATTATCGATTACGCTTTCCCATTAAACTCCGCGAAAACTGTACCGTTCTTTACGCTCCGATGACTAGATATTTTATACGAAAATTAGATTCGATTATTCATTTGCAGGTGACGTTTTGAAATTTATAAATGTCAGACGGGATGAAGGTTTTTATACAGTTTGAGAGGAAAATGTGACGTAGCGAAATATTTCGATGCAAATAAAAATTTGGTAAGATTATTAAATTATTATTAAGTTTAAATTTATAAATTGTATAAGTTTAAATTTATATTATAGTGAGCGGTGGTTGACGACGAATAGGTTAAGTAAAAACGACCAGTATAGCGATCGGGTTAAAGTTGTCTACATCGCAGTAAATTCTTTCGATGTTTGCCACGTTCTTCAAATTTTCCAGCTGTTCGAGCCGAAGCTACGACCTCAGCAATTCTGAAATGCTAAAACAACGTTGAAACTGCAAGCAAAGCGGGATAATCCATCGAGCCGAAATCAAGCCGAACCAACAACGTTCCTTCCGAACGATTCCCGTTCGGCTAGAAACGAATCATCGACAAGGAAACAACGCGTAACCAGCGAAAAATAACTCCGGTGTATCTCCTACGACCACCGTCAAAGGTATCTACCATTTTGTACCATTGCAGAAAGCAGAATACAAATTACATGCTTGTACAGTACGTCTACGCACTCCTACCAATTTATTCTATTTTAGGTACGTGTGTGGTGCGTCACGCAGGTTTCCACGTATTACTGGTAGCATTTAGTGCGAATTTAGGAATCTGGTAATTTGTAGGTTGAGAGTTTGGGAAATTGAGGATTTGGGGAATTTGGATTTTGGGGAATTTAGAATTGGGAGATTTGGAATTTGAGTGATTTGGAATTTGGGGGATTTGGAATTTGGGTGATTTGGAATTTGGGGGGTTTGGAATTTGGACGTCTACGCACTCCTACCAATTTATTCTATTTTAGGTACGTGTGTGGTGCGTCACGCAGGTTTCCACGTATTACTGGTAGCATTTAGTGCGAATTTAGGAATCTGGTAATTTGTAGGTTGAGAGTTTGGGAAATTGAGGATTTGGGGAATTTGGATTTTGGGGAATTTAGAATTGGGAGATTTGGAATTTGAGTGATTTGGAATTTGGGGGATTTGGAATTTGGGTGATTTGGAATTTGGGGGGTTTGGAATTTGGGAGGTTTGGAATTTGGGAAATTTGGAATTTGGGGAATTTGAAATTGGGGGAGTTGGAATTTGGGGGGTATGGAATTTGGGTGATTTGGAATTTGGGGGGTTTGGAATTTGGAGAATTTGGAATTGGGGGAGTTGGAATTTGGGTGATTTGGAATTTGGGGGGTTTGGAATTTGGAGGATTTAGAATTTGGGGAATTTGGAATTGGGGGAGTTGGAATTTGGGAAATTTGGAATTGGGGTGATTTGGAATTTGGGTGATTTGGAATTGGGGTGATTTGGAATTTGGGAGGTTTGGAATTTGGGAAATTTGGAATTTGGGGAATTT